GGATGGCCAGAGACCCGGCCAGGCCCTGAGTTCCATCACTACGTTTCTCGGAAAAATGAACTGTCGGCCCACAAGGGATGTGTGCTATGGGGCAGCAGGGTCATCATTCCACCCAGTCTTCGCTGCAGGGTGCTGGATTTCTTACACGAGGGGCACCCAGGAATTGTTCGAATGAAGGCTCTATCCCAAAGCTTTTCAACCAGTGGTACGGGTACCACTGTGGTACATTGGCACCTGGCAGGTGGTATGGGACCATCCTAGAAAAGTGGTAGCAGGGGAGGGGAATGAGCTGAACTGGTGGTAGCACCGCACAAGCCTGAGCGAGAGATGGCTGGAGATGCAGGACTGTCAGGGCTCAGCGGAAGCGCAAGGATCAGCGCCAGGCTCCAGCTGATCCTGGCTCTTCTGCTGAGCCCAGAAGAAGCGCCGATCAGCTGGAATGTTGCAGCATCTCCAGGGTCTTGTGATTTACATTCAGATGCTTGGCAACTGATTCATATTTATGACGGTCACAGTGTCCCAGGGTCATGTGAAGTGATCAAAACCTGCTGCAACCACCCAGCAGATGGGGGGAATAAAAACCAAACACCCTCCCACCCCACCCCCACTGCCCATCCTCAACAGAAATGCTCACAACAATGAAAACCTTGGACAGGAGGAAGAGCGCCGCTGGGTGGGTAGGCAGGTTTCTTGTCCCGCTGTGACTTGGGGGGCACTTTTTTCAGTGCCATTGTAACTTTGAACAGTTACTAAGTGAACTGTTGTAAGTCAACTACCTGTACTTCATTACCTTTTTCCTTTTTTTATGGGTCATCAAGTTTTTGACACCTTGCTAGGCGACTGGTGGTACTCGGATATTGCCATATCCTAAAAGTGGGGAGGCACTTTTTTCAGTGCCATTGTAACTTTGAACAGTTACTAAGCGAACTGTTGTCAGTCGACCACCTGTACTTCATTACTTTTTTTCTTTTTTTTATGGGTTAAGTTTTTGACACCTTGCTAGGCGACTGGTGGTACTCGGATATTGCCATATCCTAAAAGTGGTACAATGGGTGAAAAGGTTGAAAAGCCCTGCTCTATCCAGGAGCTACTTGTGGTGGCCAGGCCTGGACAAGGACATTGAAAATCAAGTAAGGAGTTGCCAGGCCTGCCAAGAAACCCGACCGGAGATGCCACAAGCACCAGTGCATTGCTGGGACACCACACATATCCCATGGTCTCGCGTGCACATTGACTTTGCGGGCCCCTTCCAAGGGCAGTTGTTCTTAATTGTAATAGACAGTTATTCCAAGTGGTTGGAAGTGGCACCGGTCTCATCGATGACAACAAACAGGGTCATCCAAGAGTTGTGCCGGCTGTTCGGCACACACGTGGTCTGCCAGATGTAATCGTGTCCGACAACGGGGCACAATTCACGGCAGGAGAGTTTCAATCTTTCCTCAATGCCAACATGATTCGGCATGTAACATCTGCTCCATTCCACCCCGTGACCAACGGTCAGGCCGAACGAATGGTCAGGACCACAAAGGAGGCGCTCAAGCGGATGACAACTGGGGACTGGAATCACCAAATGGCGAACTTCCTCCTGTGTCAACACACAACTCCCAGTACAGCAACAGGTCGCAGCCCAGCGGAGCTCGACCGACTTCACCCAGACAGAGTAGCAGCAGAGATGGCTCAACCAAAGCCCCCCAGGAACTTACAGTTGGGTGAATTGGTCTGGGCCAGGAACTATGGAAGTGGGGGGCCTTGGGTGGCAGCTAGGGTGACTAAGATAATGGGGCCCTTGTCATATGAGGTTATTCTGGAAAATGATCACATGGTCAGATGCCACATTGTTCAGTTATGGCGTCGGCAGGCCTGGCCAGTCCCGGGTGAGGATCCTGAGGTTTTATCAGACACAGAGAACTGTTTTGCCCCGAGTTTGCCTACACCATCCATGGCCTCCTCTGGGGAAACGGAGGTATGAAGGGCCGTAGAGCCGCCGCCACTCACGGGCAACCTAAACGGCCATCATGAATCTGTTCAAGTGGAGATGGATAATACTCCACTTGAACAGGACTCTCCAATAACATTGCAGCGGTCCACCAGGATCTGTAGGCCCCCAGCCTATCTCAAAGACTATGAATATTGAACAGACGGAGGATGATAACTAACCTAGGGGGAAGGGGTGTTATGTATTGAATATATATATAAAGTTGTGTTAATCTCTGCTAAAGTGAAACTAATCTAACTCCAACTGCTTGTAAAGCTAAAATGAAACTAACCTTTAGATGACCAACTGTTAACTCCAACTGTTTTGGAGGGAAACTTTGAACATTCATATTTGGGCGGGCTTTTTCAAGTATTGTGATTGGTTAAGGCCCTGTGGGCTAAGAGTATAAATTACAGGCAATTGCCTGCAGTTCTCCAGTTCTAGTTTGAGTCAATAAATGATGTAACTATGCTGGTCTGCTCCTTGCTTACTGAAACCCACTACACAATAATTGCCCCTTACCCATGCTGATGATGGAGCAGCTGCACTCACAGCCGCAGATGCAGCACCTCCCCCCCATTCAGCTTCTATCAGCACCAGTACTTCAGTCACCACCACCGGCCCAGGCCATGTCTCCGTGGAGGAGAGAGCATCGCCCTGGGGGTGAAATTTAATGGTTACCCTAATACAATAGTTCCAAGGTTGAAATGCTTAGCCTGGTCATCTCCTCCCAGCAGCTAGCAGCCCCTGCCATCACCAGAGTACAGACAAAAGCTAACCTGCAGATGCCGGATGAGTTACTAATAGTGCTGAAAGGGGCAATAGAGAAAGATGGTTTAAAACCTACAAAGTTGAGTGTACCACACAAGAACGCTTAGCCTGGATGGGTGCCAAGTTATATATCCCAGGGAGTCAGCACATCACAATCCTCCAGAGAAGCCATAATTCTAAAACAGTGGAACATTGTGGCTGTGTGAAAACTCTATACCTACTGAAACACCAGTTCTGTTGGGCATCTTTGAAAAAGGACATTGAAACCTATGTGGCTAGCTGCCCTATCTGCTCATCAGCTGAAAGGCATCTAGGGTAAACCCCAAGTCTTCTTCAGCCAGTAGCAAAACCTTAAGCATCCTGGAAAGAAATTTCTATGGACTTTATAGTGGAACTGCCAGAAAACTCAGGGAACACCGTAATTTGGATGGTAACTGACCTTTTCTCCAAACAAATATACTTTGTCCCTTGCTCCAAAATCTCCTCAGCACATATCTTACCAAGCTTTTCATACAACATACAAAAGCTTCATACCAAGCTTTTCATTCAGACTACATGGATCCCCAGAGCAAATAATTTTGGATCGCGGGGTTCAATTCACTTCGCTATTTTGACAGGAGTTCTTAAAATTGCTTGGTACCACCCAGGGGCTTAGCTCCTTTCTTCATCCCCAGAAAAATGGGGTGTGTGAATGCATGAATGGGGTCTTAGAATAATACATGAGATGTTACGATAACTACCAGCAAGACAACTGGGCTGACCTTTTTCCTTTTGCAGAGGTAGCCGACAATAATGCCATACATAGCAGCACTGGCTTTACACCTTTCATAATTACAATGGGCCAGGATTTTGTGCCCATACCAGAGCTCCCCCAAGCCAAACAACAAACTACCTCATTAGCGGAAATGATTACAGAACTTCAAAGCACCTGGCCGGTAGTCCACAAAGCTCTAGAAAAAACCACATGAGACTTATAAAAAAACAGGCAGATAAAAAGTGCTCCAAACCAAAAGACTTTAACATAGGCAACAATGTTTATCTGTCTATCAAATGCCTCCAGTCTAGACAACCCTCTAAAAAATTAGGTCCCAAGTATGTTGGGCTCTTTCCAATTACTAAAGTCATCAACCTGGTAACAGTGCAATTGGGTCTGCCCAAATCTCTCAGATATATTCAACCAGTATTCCACTTAAGCCTGTTAAAACTGGCAATCACTTCTCCTTTACACCCCACAATGAAGCCACCTCCAAACCCCACTCTAATCGAAGGGGAACATTTCAAAATTAAAGAAATCTTAGACTTTTGCAAGCATAGAGGGAAAGTACAATACTAAATTATATGGAAAGACTTTCTTCCCTCAGAGACAGAGTGGGTCAATGCTCAACATGTCCGAGCCCCAAAAATTCTCTGCAAGTTCCAGAGCAAGTACCCAGACAAACCCTATTGAATAATAACTCTGTTTTGTCTCTTTTTGTCTTTCTCCCATAGGACTGATGTCTTTTCCAAGGGGGGGGGCAGAATGTCAGGTCTGCTATCTCCAGCACACCTCTCTTTGCTGGCATCCTGCCATAAAACTCATGGGAGGGAGGAGAAGTGTGGGAAAGTAGGGAATGGGCAGAGAGAGGAATGGAGGGAATGACAGGGTGACAGGAACCAGAGATGTCAATCCGGAATGAACCATCCAGCCAAGGAAAGAATTGTGCAAATAGAATATAAAACTCAACCAAACAGGTGCCAAACCTCAAAGCCATTCCCAAAACACCAAAACCAAATAATATTGGACATTGATGGACTGATCAAGGCGGGAGGGCCAGGGAGATGGGTAAACCACAGGCTTTGTAGAGGAATATTCAGATCCAGTTTTGCTTATGCTGTAACCATTTGAACTTAGTAAATGTGAACCTTTCACTTCAACCATAGAGTTGAGGGTCTTTCTTTCCTAAGTGCCTAAGCTGGAACAAGCCTGACACTATCTTAATAACTGCAACTGTAACAAGAAAGGTCATTAAATGGGGCAAAATTCACTTAACAAACCATTTTGCTTAGTAACAGAAATGTTGGGGTCAAGTTGAGGATTACCTGTAGAAGATCTCTATATTCTAAATTAAACTGACAGGTTGACAGCATTTTGCATACTTTTTAAGAAAAGGGGAAAAGAAATAAATTGTATCTTGACTGTTAATACAAAGACGAAAAAGTATTAAAGTGGATTATTCATCAATGCTGTGCATTATTTTCTCTTCACCTTACTAACCTGTGCTGGATTTGGCAGTTTCCTGTCCAATTGTTTGGCCTAGGAGATCATACTGATTCAACCTTGAACCATCTGGAGCTACTTCTACTGAATTTGATGCATTGAACGTCCACTTGTAGGTTACTTCTGCTGTTGTATATGCATCTATCAAGGACAAAAAGAAGAGTCATTCAGAATATTTGAGATTATTAAATAATTTCAATAAGTATGAATTAAATATTTAAATTTCCAAATAGTGATAGAGACAGTAAAACAGAGAGTATTTTACAATGTAACCAAGCATGAAAAAAGGCACAACCAAAATCAATTCTTTCCCAAAATTAATTCATTTCACTTCCTGTAAGTCTGGCAAAGTCACTTCAATTTCTTTCTTTTAATGCAGCGGTTCTCAACCTATGGGTCGCGACCCCATTTGGGGTCGATCGACTATTTCACGGGGGTCGCCAAGCAAGGCTGTCTGCCATTTTTTCCCCTTTTCCAGCGGGTGCCTTACCTCCCTTGAGCTGGGCCAGCTGGTGGTCGGCCTGCTCCGTCTCTGCCGCTTGCCAGCTACGCCTCGGCTGGCGCAGGGGGCGGAACCACGCATGTGCGGCGCTCCCGGGCAGGGAAAGTCCTTGACTTACGACCGGTTGGGTAGTCCTCGACTTACAACCAGTTTAGTCCTCGACTTACGGCCGGTTTAGTCCTCGACTTACGACCGGTTGTGGGTCACGGCATTAAAAAGGTTGAGAACCACTGTTTTAATGACACTTTCCTGTTTTCAGACCCTAACCACTTATATCTTCTTTTCTTTTATAACTGCTGTTAACTTGTTCTGTTTCATCTCTGAATGTTTATCAAACCATTTCAACTAAAAGTCACACCTCTACCATAGTAAATATAACCAGAATTTACCAGTTATGTTATCAATTTTTTCAGAGTGACACAGAGTCATCAAAACTATGAATATAAAAATGCAAATGGTTTATTAGCTTAACTGAATGCTTCAAATCTGCAGATAACTAGGAGGGAGAATCCATGCTAGCATAGCTAAAAACATAGCAAGATTGTATAATTATGCAATTAGGATAGGATAGGATAGGATAGGATAGGAGCTGGAAGGGAACTTAGAGATCTTCTAGTTCAGCCCCCTGCTCAAGCAGGAGAACCAATACCATTTCAAGCAAGTGACTGTCTAGACTCTTCTTAAAGACCTCCAGTGATGGAGCGCCCATGATTTCTGAAGGCAAGCTGTTCCACTGGTTCATTGTGCTCACTATTAGGAAGTTTCTCCTTAATTCCAGGTTGCTTCTCTCTTTGGTCAGTTTCCAACCATTGTTTCTTGTCTTGCCCTCTGGTGCTTTGGAGCAAGACTTTTCAACCAGTGGTATGGGTACCACCTGTGGTACATTGGCATCTGGCAGATGGTATGGGACCATCCTAGAAAAGTGGTAGCAGGGGAGGGGAATGAGCTGCACTGGTGGCAGCACCGCACAAGCCTGAGCGAGAGATGGCTGGAGCTGCAGGACTGTCAGGGCTCAGCGGAAGCGCAAGGATCAGCGCCAGGCTCCAGCTGATCCTGGCGCTTCTGCTGAGCCCAGAAGAAGCGCCGATCAGCTGGAATGTTGCAGCATCTTCAGATGCTTGGCAACTGATTCATATTTATGACGGTCACAGTGTCCCAGGGTCATGTGAAGTGATCAAAACCTGCTGCAACCACCCAGCAGATGGGGGGAATAAAAACCAAACACCCTCCCACCCCACCCCCACTGCCAATCCTCAACAGAAATGCTCACAACAATGAAAACCTTGGACAGGAGGAAGAGCGCCGCCGGGTGGGCAGGCAGGTTTCTTGTCCCGCTGTGACTTGGGGGGCACTTTTTTCAGTGCCATTGTAACTTTGAACAGTTACTAAGTGAACTGTTGTAAGTCAACTACCTGTACTTCATTACCTTTTTCCTTTTTTTATGGGTCATCAAGTTTTTGACACCTTGCTAGGCGACTGGTGGTACTCGGATATTGCCATATCCTAAAAGTGGGGAGGCACTTTTTTCAGTGCCATTGTAACTTTGAACAGTTACTAAGCGAACTGTTGTCAGTCGACCACCTGTACTTCATTACTTTTTTTCTTTTTTTTATGGGTCAAGTTTTTGACACCTTGCTAGGTGACTGGTGGTACTCAGATATTGCCATATCCTAAAAGTGGTACGATGGGTGAAAAAGTTGAAAAGCCCTGCACTAGAACTCCAAGGCTCTATTCACAGTTAATGTTTTGAGCATTAATCTGTACTTATATTTATATTTTTCCTGCCTAATGTAAAACTTTGCTTTTCTCCACATTAAAATTCATTTTGTTGGATAGGGCCCATTGTTCAAGTTTGTCAAGATCTTTTTGGATCCTGAGCTTGTCTTCTATTGGCTATTCCTGCCAATTTAGTGTCATCTGCAAAGTTGATGAGTTCCCCTTCTATTCCCTCATCTAAGTCATTGATGAAGATATTGAAGAGTACTGGGCCTAAGACGGAGCCTTGTGGTACCTCACTGCTTACTTCTCTCCATGTGGATGTAGTACCATTGAGGACTACTCATTGAGTACGGTTTGTCAGCCAGCTGCAGATCCATCTGGTGGTTATGTTATCTATCCCATCTTTTTCTAGCTTACTAAGCAGCAGGTAGTGGCCTACTTTGTCAAATGCCTTACTGAAATCTAAGTATACTATGTCCACAGTGTTTTACTAGTCTACTAACCAGTAGACTAGTCTACTAACTAGTAGACTAGTAGACTCCCCTTCCTCTTTTTGTAGTTCTGTTTCTTTTGAGCAATTTGTATCCATCCATCAGTCCATCCCAGTCATGGGTTTTGTCCCAACAGGTTTCTATAATGCCAACTATGTCATACACACCCTCATGTACTATTGCTTGTACTGTTTGTTCTCCAAACTTTGAGCATTAGTATATAAACATTTAAGACTTTTATGTCTGTCCATGGGTATGTTTCCTGTATCTCCTGATTGTTGTTTGATTTTTTTCTTTTTTCTCATCACTCCCTACCTCTTTGTTTGATTTTTTTCTTGGGATTTATGATTGGTTTTGTATTCTAGAGATTCTAATAATTGGTCCCCCTTCTCCCTGAATTTTAGTTTAAAGCCCTTCTAATGAGTTGGGCCAGTCTTTTTCCAAGTAAACTTTTCCCTGTTTTCGTGAGGTGCAGCCCATCCCTTGCCAAGAGTCAGTCACATAGAAACTAAAGTTTTCTTGGCAACACCAACCCTTTAGCCAGTGGTTTATTTCTAAATTCTTTTTCCCTCAATAGGTGTTGTCCTTTTGTTGGGAGTACTGATGAGAACACTACTTGTGTTCCTAGCTCCTTAACTTTATTGCCTAGTTGCTTATAGTCTCTCAGGATTGTGCTCAGGTTCTTTGCTGTGTCATTTAACCCAATGTGAAGGAGTAGGCGAGGGTAGTAATCTCTTGGCCTAATTATTTTGATTAGGTTCTCAGCCACGTCTTTGATTTTTGCTCCAGGCAGACAACATACTTTCCTGGATTGTATGTCCAGTCTGCAGATGGCTGATTCTGCTCCTTTGAGAATAGAATCTCCTAACACCAGCATTCGCCTTCTTTTTTTTGGGGGGGGGGGTGCAGTCTGAGGTGTTTTTCTGTTTGTCTCAGATGTGTTTGTTGATGTGACTTTTTAAGGGATATTTGGTGTTGTTTCTTTGCTAGGTGTCTGCATGTTTTCTTTGAGGGGGAGGTTGTGGGTCTGTGTATTTCCATCTAGGGGGAGAAATCAATTGCTCAGTTTTAATGGGGCTGCTTCTGGTTGGGTTAGATTGGGCAGTAGGGTTTTGTTAGATGTATGCTGCTTCTTCCTTTGCTTGTTGGGTTTCCTTCTATGTGTGGCATACCCCATTTGTCTTCCTCCAAGGGTTTATTGGTAGGGTCAAATCCTCTGGGAGTTATTTGTCCATTGTTTGGTTCAGTTTGGGTATAGCTTTCTTTCATAGTTGGAGTCTGGCTTGAGTTGCCTCTAGATTCTTTACTTTTTCCTCTAGTAGTTCACATAGTTTACATTTAATGCATGTATAATTTGGGTGTTCTTTGGGCATAAACATATACATGGAACATGTATTGCATACTACAATAGTATCCGTCACCTGTTCCATGAATTTGTTGTTTGAAAATTCCTCTTTTATGGTTGGTGGATGTGCTTTGCTGTTAGCCATGCTTCTACCTCTGTTCTAGGTAATTATGCCTATTTTTTCCTATGTTTTGAAAATCAAAATAGCATCAGTTTCTTTTTCCAAGAGTCTGCTGTGTGGTTCTTGTTCACAGTCCCCAGCCTCCTGGTCTGCTGCCTTTTGCAATCCACAGTCTACTGGTCTGCTGCCGTTCATAGTCCCTGGTCTACAGGCCCTGGTTGACTGCCACCTACACCACCCAGTCTACTGTTGTCCGTAGGCCCTGGTCTACTGCCGCCCATAGGCCCTGGCCTACTGCCGTCTGTAGCACCCATTCCACTGCCATCTGCAGGTCTACTGCCATCCACAACACCTGGTCTGCTGCCGTCTATAGGCCCTGGTCTACTGCTATCCGCAGTCCCTGGTCTACTGTGCCGCAGCATTCCACCACCCCCATCAACAGCTCCGCAGCCACATGGTTCCTGTTTGCTGGTCCATAACGCTGATGTTGTGCTTCTTTCAGCAAACAGAGCTTCCTGGATGGTTCACAGTAAGCTCTCCTCTTCTCTCCCTGGCTGGCTCTCCTCTCTGCTCCACTATCTTACTGGCTCTCCTGTTTCTCCTCTAAGAACAGGAGATTCAAGAGGGTATCTTTGAAAAATTGAGAGAAAGTTGATATATAGCAGGTTCACTCTTCTTATGCAGTAGCAGCTCAAGACCTATCTTCATATTCTAAATAAAGAGTTGCAGATCCAAGATTGCACAATACGGCTGGTTTCCACTGTCGAGTTACACTCCAAAATCATCAATGGATGATCTTTCTTGGACTACATCAAGTTCCATCAGAAACAATTCCTTCTTTATCAAGCAGATGTTTGAACAGTAGATTAGATTGAACTGCTTCTCTTAGCCAGGGCGTTCATCACCCTTTGCAATGTACATTACTTTGACTTTATTAAAGGATACAATTGCTGTGGTTCTAAA